AAAAAAAATAGAAACTTGTTAACAACGTTGTAAATCCAGTTTGTAGAAGGAAATTAAAGGGCTTTCTTATAACCACACCTGTAACAAAAAACAAACAAACAAACAAACAAAAAAAACCCCTAACAAACAACAAAAAAACCTTCATACAACTATATATTTTTAATGCTTATAATTTTAAAAAGTCTTAGTATATTTTTAAAAAGTCTTAGTTATTGTATTTAACAAGTTTAAATATAATACACTATTTAACATACATTGTTGTAAAACAATTACTTATTCAAGTAATTGCCACCCTACCACAATTGCTTTACAATAATACTTTCTTGCTTCTGAACGACCTTTACTATGATATTAGCAAAACATTTATCCTGCTATATCACATAAATGATAAATTTTTGCTTAAGCAGGTAGAATTATAAATAAATAAATAGATAACTCACAGTCAACGTGTGCCCTACAGTAACAAGATTTGTCATAACAAAAGGTTATTTTTTAATGAATAATGCCTCATTTAGAACTACACTATGGCATTTAAAATCTAATTAGTTTATCCCTTTCCCCATGGATAACTGAGAAGAAAATAATATAATATTAGCAGGTAGAGAATTGGTAGAAATGAGAACCATGTATGCTCTCTGCTAGCAGCAAATTCATATTGGTCAGATCTAAAAGATAAAAAGACAAAACATATAGTTTGAATGAATTACAGTAAATTTCCATTGAAGAAGGAGGTCTTTGAAAGTGCATGTTCAAAAATAATGATAATTTAAAAAAAAAAAAAAAAGCAAAATGAGTGAAGGAAACAAGGGAGCAAGGAAGGGAGTAACGAATACATATGGAATCTGAAGGGATAATTGTTTTAGACAAAGGGAATATAATTTGAAATGGTCCTGATCCATACTGCCTTTAAGGAAGGAACAGCAAGGAAAATAGAGGAAGTCTAGGCTTCCTCTTTGTGGGTCCTAGAAGGTTTGCACTGAAAGCAGCCTAGGACTGACCAGTACCTACTCACTGTGTCCCCTCAGTGCAGTAGGGGCCAGAATAAATTGAAAACTTCAGTTACTTGCAAATGCTTCCTAAAATTATTGCCTAAGCTCCTGTAGAATCAACAAGGATCAACAGAGATCTCAAAAAACGTTCTCCAGAGTACTCAAGCAATATTCCTAGCTTTTTATAGACTTTACAAGATGCTCGAACAATTTTGAAAGACAATGATGGATTCCATGCACAAATTGCAGAATGCAACAGGAAACAGAAAAACCTAAGAGGAGTATGTCTGAATTTCTGCATGCCTCAGGAGCTTAGTTGCCTGCTTCAGAGCTGAGTGCTAGGCATGTGCATCCACGGGAGATTTAGAATGCTGAGATATCTTCAGATGCAATCTGAAGTTTTTTGCAGCTCTCATGGTTGCAGTTTGAATGTAGAACAAATAAGAAAACTTTTTTCTTTTCTTCTTTTCTGCAATGAAAACATAGATTTCCTTAGACAAAAAGGGTGGTCAAGGTGGATGAATCTACTATTCTAATGTTACAGATTAAAATTTGATATGAAAGACTGTAATAACTTATACTTTTGACATCAAGCACCGTAAAGGATGAAAGCTGAAAGACATTTCAAGTCAGATATTTCTGAGCTGCAAAAACAAACAGATGCTTGAAAAAAGAATGGATGTTTTCACCATAAATTCAACTGCTCATTCAAATAATTATTAATAGAGATCACAATATACTAATGTTTGTGAGACAAATTTCTACTACGAACAAAAACTATTTTTTTGGCACAGAACCTCACAGGATAGGAGTTCTGTATCTTCTAGCTTCCCACGTAATTTTTAGTAGCAAGATACTGCTATCATTGTCACTATTATCAGTATTATTATTTTATTTCCATAGTTACTATCAAACCACTTTGTGCTAGACACTGTAAAAGGAGCAAAAGTTGTCCTTATGAGTTTATAATCTTAAATGCAGCAACAAAAGTGAGAGAGAAAAAATAAAGACCCTACAGATATATATGGTCACAGAGGTACTATTATGTGGACTCCAGGAGTTCAAATGGTGATTAATTCAAAATGTTCAATTAACCAACAAAGTTATTGAGAAATGTTACAACACAGCTCCTGTATCTTCTACTGGATTCAGAAAATAGCTAGCATCTAATTCTAGGTGAGATGTGTAGGACAAGCCAAAGAGATTTCCCCAAAAGAATGGAGATGTTTCACTGTCCAGTATACCTCTGCCTCTGTAGCTAGGCACTCAGGGCAGGGCTACAATAGAGGCTTGGCAGATGACAATACAGTGGAAAGTCATGCAGTATGCCAAAGGCTGTATTTTTGGAGAAATAGGAATAAGAAACTATGAGCTCTCTGTGTACAGGTGGATCCATACTGTCAGTATGAGCTATTCCCAGCTCTCACTCACTTTCAGTTTCCTTCTTGGAAAGCTTCAGTAACAGTCGAGTATGAATCCAGAAAAAAAAAAAAAAGACATAACCAGTGTGACCAATGAGGGGTGAATAGTGACAGGTGAGGAAGGAGGAGGTGAACTCAGCTGCTTTCATGATGGCATAGGTGACACAAAACCTAACTGATCAAAATGTTAGCCTGTTCATTACAAAACCAAATGACATTAAATTTACATCTCACTGATTGCTTATTCCATGGCACAAGCAGTCTGTCTTCAAAAACAAGTGAATGCATCGTCACTCACTCAAAAATAGATGATTTTTCTTCAGAAATTTAAAAGTTTCTATAAATAATATGAGATTTCATTTTCTGTAGAAACAATTTCTACACACAAGTTATTGCTACCTTTTAGTCTAGGTGATCAACACATCAAATTCTACTTCTCTCCAGTGATTAAAACATATTGTGAACATTTGGCTTGCACCAATAACTTTTAGAATTTTATTTTGAATGTACAAATACATGTATGTTACAGAATCATAGAATCTTTTAGATTGGAAAAGACGTCCAAGCACATCACGCCCGACTGTTATGGTATGTTAGCAGGTACATGCTTCATTTGCTCTAGCTTGTTTCAAAAACTATTACTTGCTTCTCACAGAGAAATATGCTTGTATTGAAAAAATACAATACAAAATACATTTGTATATCTCATATCTATGAGAAACTAGTTTGTAAAGGTATATTTGCCTATAAATACTTATAACTAAATATTGCACTGTTCTAGCAAGTCAAATGTTCCTAAACTAGTTTCACTCATCAGCATGTCATTCTTGTTCTGTATAATCTTTTCTGCAAGAAAGATTTAAGTTGATCACTAGCAACCTTTTTTTATCACATAAAGCAAGGAATTTATTTTTTATTTTAAGAAATCACTGGTTTTTGCACTAATTTTGATTTAACTCTCTAATGTACCCAATAAAACATATTTTCCAGTATATTACTTCTGATTCTGATATACTGGGGTCCAAGGGAAAAAAAAAATACTTAACACAATACCAACTGTTAGCAGACTGCACATCTTTCACACACATACAAAAAAAAAACGCAGTTAGCTACTGATTTTGGTTGATTCATAATTCCCACCAAAACATAAGGACCACTAAGCTCAGAAATAAGTTGAAAATGCTGATCTCTCCATCTTTCAGATGTACAGAATTTTCAGCAGTTAGAACCAGCTTGACAACAGCTCCACTGATCTTTGCAACAACATTGTTTAAAAATATCTATAAATACAAAATATTTAAAATTACTTTTAGACATTGGTACAGTGGTAAGATGGATGAGCCACAAGAAAAAGGAAGATTCTGAAAAATAGATGGCAGAAAGAATGAAGAACGAAAAACAAATGGAGAGATATGGATTACATAGTCCTACATTAAAGCAGACTAGCTTCTCCATTTTTTCCTGTCCAATCTATTCCCTGGCTAGCTTGTGCAGAAGTGTCTACAATATCGCTATTACTACGAGTTACAACACAAGTATTGTGCCAGACACTATGTAGGTCACTACAGCTGTCCCAAAACAACTGAGCTACAAGCAGAGAGTTGCAAGAGACCAGAACGAGATTGAAAATGACAAACACTTTGAAGTGTTCTAGGTCATGCCAGGAAGTTGTGGGAAGTCAGTGGGGGAGGAGTTATTCCACACAATTAATAACCTGGATGAAGATATGAATTTGGTGTTCATCGTTTCCTCCTCTCATTTCTGCAGTGAATACTTCAATGACGCACTTCAGTGTAAAACTAGGAAATCCTACTTTTTTCTCCTTTACGGTTATCCTGATTGCATTCAGTATTCTGTCTTTCTAGATAGTAAGATTTGCCAGAAAAAAAAAAAAAAAAAATACACTTGTCATTTATCTTCCTAATCTACCAGACATAGTTATTTGTCATTGGCAATTTCCCTCACCTCTTAGGTCCCATTTTCTTCTCCCAAACTTCCCAATCCCATACTTCCTCAACCCCCCTAAGGGTCTACCTTATGCTACTTATGTACCCCTTGCAAGCTGTCCTGCCCAGCAAAGACGTATGAGGTGTGGCTGAGGTCCCTTGGTTCGTCCAGCCCCGAGCAGAGCAGGCTGAGGGGAGGCCTCATGGCGGCCTGCAGCTCCCTCACGAGGGGAGCGGAGGGGCAGGCGCTGAGCTCTGCTCTCTGGGGACAGCGACAGGACCCGAGGGAACGGCATGGAGCTGGGACAGGGGAGGGTCAGGCTGGGGGTTAGGGAAAGGGTCTGCACCCAGAGGGTGCTCGGGCACTGGGACAGGCTCCCGAGGGATGTGGTCCCAGCACCGCCTCAGGCGGGCGCCCAGCGGGGCAGCAGCGCCCTCCATGGGCACCGACCGCTGCCTGGCGGCGCCGCCGAGCCCCGGGCACCCCCGTTCTGCCATGGCCGGGACGCGTCGCCCTCAGGGAGCCCGAACCATGTCAGACACTGAGCAGGGAAGGGCGCTTTCCCCCCCAAAGCCGCCGTGGGGCTGAGGGCGGGCACAGCTCGCTGCCCGCCCCCTGCTCGGCCCCTTCTCCTCCCTGCCGCCGCTCCTCCTTCCCTCCCCGCCGCACCGGCGAGGCTGCGGGGCCGGCGGGGAAGGCGGCGCTGCCTGCGGGGAGGAAGCCGGATGAAGCCCCTCGGGCATGCAGCGAGCCGCGGGGACCCTGCCCAGGAGCCCAGCGGCGGCATCAGGTAACGACAGCCCTCGCCTCGCCCCCGGCCCGGAGAAAAGTTCCCTCCCGGGGGCTGCAGGACCCTTCTCCCGGCGGGACCCGTGCGCCGGGGGGCTCCGTGCCCGGCTCTTTGCAGAGATAAGACTGGGTGTGTGTCCGCGGGGGATGGAGGGGGCAGCCTTCCCCGGGGCTTCGTGCCCTCCCTGACAGCCCCGGGTGTGTTTAGGAAGAAGAAAGCAACAAACAAAATGTTACCAGAAAGTAGTAACGCGTAGCGCTACATCGGGGACCTGGGTGTGTTTGTTGTGCCCGGCTGTACACACGCCGCGGCTCGTCTTGGGTCGTGCTTTGCTGGGCATCTGTGGGCTCGCTGTCAACTTTTAGTACAGGGTGTGGGTTTTAATTAACGCGATGGGAGGCTAAATCCCGCTTTAAGTGTGCCACGGTGGTGTTTTGCTTTCCTTTGCTCAGTTTGTATCAAAGACACTAAGTCAGTTTCACATCTATTTGGTTATTTCTTCTAAAATCATTTAAGGAGTGAAAAGTGAGCAGGGTGCCCCACAGAGGTTCTGGGTACCTTTGCTACAAAGCAACATTGAACCAGCTTAAAGAAGAAAAAATAAAACGTATCTTCAAAAGCCTGCTTCCTTACCAGCCCAAAGAAGTGAGAAGTGCATTGCAAACTGCCCTGAGAGTGAAAAGATTTAAGTCACTTCAATTAAGCAAGATTTGCCAAAGGCAAGGTCCCTCCTCATAAAGGATGTGCTGTGCTTATTCCATTGGTTAAATTTGAGAGAAGCTACTTTAAGAACTGTATTATCTGCAATTACGAATGTTCTAAGTCCACTTTTTCATATTTTCATAGTGCCAATGTAATCTCACTATATTTCTTGCAAAATCCGAAGAAAGAAATCAAATGTAAAGATCTTAATTTCTCTAGATTAGAAAAGCATGTATAGTTTTTATTTATTTACTTTACAATATAACAAATTTAGGGGAGCATTCAAAAGGAGAATAGACTGAGCAACATTCATCTGTTACTACAGGTAATCCTAATGATTATTCATTGGACATTGATTAATCCGAATTTCAGATTGAGTTTGTGGTTTTTTTTAATAAACACAGTTACATTCTCTATGAAGGTCCATCGAAGTTATTGACCAAGTGCAGCTTTGAGACTGTATTTTTATGTATGCTCAATTTTTTTATTAATGGATTTTAAGTTGCGTTCAACTAAAGGCTGAAAAAAGAGAAGTACAAATTATATATAAAACTTGAAATGCTTTCCACCTCTATGTGTTCTGTGTTTTTTTTCTCTCCTTGTCAGCTTCAAATGTAACTTCTCCCTAAGTTTTCATGCAAGTGACAGAATTTCTTAAATATATGAAACAATTTTCTATTGTCAAATGTTCTGTAGTTCATACTTGCTTAGAAAGATAGATATGGCTAGGGAATTATCGTTTTTCTTGACAACATGACAGTTAAAACTTGGTGTGCATAGCAGCAAGCATGTGTAGTGCATTAAAAGATGTCACTCTGAACTGTCATTGACTAACTTTTCAATGTATTTTTGTGAAAGTGAATATATCGCTTGTAAAGTGACAGCTAGGGTGTAACTAAGTGGTAAAATAGAGAATTACTGTAGTGACCTAGGGTCTAACTTTGGATTTTGACTAGAGTTTTAATATTGGATGCCTGAGGATTCAGTGTTCAATTCTGTAAACAGGTATTTGATTCATTTTCTTCATAGTGGTGTCTCAATTAAACTCTAAAAAGTATTGTTGGTGCACCACTGCTTAAGCTACCCGGAGGTGGAGTGTAGAATTTTACTTTGTTATGATGTAATGAAGAAAATGCTTCATGTGCTTATAAGCTTCCTGTTCTTTTACCATGTTCAAATTGTATAGAGTCATTGCTGTCAAAACCAGATCATGCTAGAAATCATACACTTAAACATTATTATGTGTCAAGCAAGTGTTCTTTTGCAGCATGTGAAATCTTAAACAGTTAAAATGGCCAGGTGAAGCAGGGAAGTATATGCAGTGCTTTTAAGGTATGGAAATATGGGAAGTCTGGGAAGGAGGGAAAAAGGAGAACTAAGTTAGGAATTCAGGGTTTTTCTTGACCACAAACTTTTTCCTTAAAAACTAAGTTACCAACATTAAAAAATAATATGTACCTTGAGGATTTCAGGTAAAAATATACCTGGGCATTGAGACATTTGCTTTTACCTGAAGACTATATTGCATTTATACCATTTTTCTTGGTTCTGTTTCCAAGCTATGTACTGCTGTAATCTAAAGTCTTCTCTTGAAGGCTTCTGTTAAACCATGATAGAAAAAAGCTGTCTGGTGTCGTTGGATTAGGTAAATCATGGTGAAACTAGTTAACTGAGTGTACTACCTCTTCAGGAGAAAGAGACTGTCAAGAAATGAAATACTATCTGGAGAAAAATCCATTTTAGTTACAAGTTCAGGAAGAGCACAAGCTTTGAGTAGTGCATACTGCAAATCTGCACTAGGGCTAGCTTTTGGGAAGCTATTCCTTCTGGCAGCCATGACCAAGTAGTATTCTTGCAGATAACAGATTGAGCTCTCACTTTGCATGCCCATTCTGTGTGTTCTAACCTACCTTCACTTGCATATTCACTAGGTCTCCACTCAGCTGAAAAACTCCTGATTTTGTTCAGTTTTCTTTTTAGATCTTTTCTAGACCTTTGGTAGTTAATATTTTCTGCTGAACTCCTTTCAGTGCATGTTATTCAGGTAGAGTATCATCTATAAAGAATGAAGCTGTAGATTTAGAATCACAGAATCACAGAATCACAGAATCTCTAGGTTGGAAGAGACCTCAAGATCATCGAGTCCAACCTCTGACCTAACACTAACAGTCCCCACTAAACCATATCCCTAAGTTCTACATCTAAACGTCTTTTGAAGACTTCCAGGGATGGTGACTCAACCACCTCCCTGGGCAGCCTGTTCCAATGCCTCACAACCCTTTCAGTAAAGAAATTCTTCCTAACATCTAACCTAAAACTCCCCTGGCGCAACTTTAGCCCATTCCCCCTCGTCCTGTCACCAGGCACATGGGAGAACAGGCCAACCCCCATCTCGCTAGAGCCTCCTTTAATATACTTATACAGAGTGATAAGGTCACCCCTGAGCCTCCTTTTCTCTAGGCTGAACAAGCCCAGCTCCTTCAGCCGCTCCTCATAGGACTTGCTCTCCAGGCCCCTCACCAGCTTCGTCGCCCTTCTTTGGACCCGCTCAAGCACCTCGATGTCCTTCTTGTAGCGAGGGGCCCAGAACTGAACACAGTACTCGAGGTGCGGCCTCACCAGAGCCGAGTACAGGGGGACGATCACCTCCCTAGCCCTGCTGGTCACAGTGTTTCTGATACAAGCCAGGATGCCGTTGGCCTTCTTGGCCACCTGAGCACACTGCTGGCTCATATTCAGCCGACTGTCCACCATCACTCCCAGGTCCTTCTCTGCCTGGCAGCTCTCCAGCCATTCCTCTCCCAGCCTGTAGCTCTTCTTGGGGTTATTGCGCCCCAGGTGCAGGACCCGGCACTTGGCCTTGTTAAACTTCATACAGTTGACCTCAGCCCATCGGTGCAGCCTATCCAGATCCTCCTGCAGAGCCTTCCTACCCTCAAGCAGATCGACACACGCACCTAGCTTGGTGTCATCTGCAAACTTACTGAGGGTGCACTCAATGCCCTCATCCAGATCATTGATGAAGATGTTAAAGAGGACCGGCCCCAGCACCGAGCCCTGGGGGACGCCACTAGTGACTGGCCTCCAACTGGACTTGGCTCCATTTACCACAACTCTCTGGGCCCGGCTATCCAGCCAGTTTCTAACCCAACGAAGCGTGCGCCAGTCCAAGCCAAGAGCAGCCAGTTTCTTGAGGAGAATGCTGTGGGAAACGGTGTCAAAAGCCTTGCTGAAGTCAAGGTAGACCACATCCACAGCCTTTCCCTCGTCCACCCAGCGCGTCACTTTGTCGTAGAAGGAGATCAGGTTCGTCAAGCAGGATCTGCCTTCCATAAACCCATGCTGACTGGGCCTGATCGCCTGCTTGCCCTTCAAGTGCCGCATGATGACTCCCAAGAGGATCTGCTCCATGAGCTTCCCTGGTACTGAGGTCAAACTGACCGGCCTGTAGTTCCCCGGGTCTGCCCTCCGGCCCTTCTTGTAGATGGGTGTCACGTTTGCTAGCCGCCAGTCAGCTGGGACCTCCCCCGATAGCCAGGACTGCTGATAAATGATGGATAGGGGCTTGGCCAGCTCCTCTGCCAGTTCTTGTTACCAACAAGTAAAGTGGAAAGATTAGTTTATACTCAAGGCAGTACTTATAAACCCAGTGTGTTGTCTTTTATGCAAGAGTATGCTATTGCTGATCACTTTTAACTCTTCAACAATAGCTACCAAAAAATCTTTCTGAAAGATAGCTGCATACTATTTATCCTCATCCTGTATTTTCACAGTTGATTATTCTTATGCAAACTATTTATTTACCTTCTTTAATTGCATCTTTATTTTCTACTAGATTGTGTCTTCAATTATGAATTCTAATCCTATTTACTATCAGACTGGTAGCTGTCCTAAGCTAGTGTCACATTCGGATTTACAAGTATGCTCTGTCAACTAAGCTATTAATAAAACAATAAGTATCCAGCAGGATGGACTGGAGGAGATCATTAAATCTTTCTATTTGTCAATGAATTGATGGTAAAGATTCTCTGAATATGATGTTGTAACATATTTTCCTAAAAGCGCAGTGGGTTTCATTCTGGAGATACTATATGCGTGCATAAATATGGATGTTATTGTCTGTTGTCAACTCTTGTAAAACCCAAAGTAGTGGTATGTATTTCTGCTGTGTAGATTTTTGTTACCAAAACATGTAGTTTTCAAGGAAAGTATTCCTGGGGCTTTCAGTTTGAAAATTCTTTCTAATACAATAGTTTTTCATTGAGCAACAAAATACCTTTTCCTGGATGTCAGGTCAA